TGTAGGGTCAGCTCCCTGGCCAGGGATGAAACTCATGCTGCAGTGGCTGGTGATAGCTTGATAGCCCTGATAGTTAACCCCTGCGGCACCAGGGAGGCCCCTGTTTTAAGCTACCTTTAACTCTTTTCTAGAAGGGAAGCATAAATACTTCATGTGAAATTCAAAAGTCATGTACCTACAGTCACCTTCCCATACTTCCTGAGTCTGAAATCTGGTCAGAAGGGTCTCGAAAGCCTGACTAGAGTGGTTTAGGGAAGACTCTTTGATGTCCCCTCCTCTTCTCCTTCAAAGGCCCTCACTGCTCTACTTCAGAGGGACTGTGAGCAGGAGTGTGAGCATCGTGGGAAGTAGACATGGGAAGTAGGCGTCAGCTCCAGCTGACAGGCTCACTCCATCGGGTGGCTTCTGGTGGTCTGAGGTCACGGTGGGGGTCAGGGAAGGGCCTTCCTGCTGTGAGATGAGCGAAGTCCAAGACTCCACATAGAGAAACTCTGCCTTCACGCATGCTCCCCTAGCATCTGGTCTGCTTCCTTCAAGAAGGCCTTTGAAATTCAGGCGGAGGCCTTGGAATGGCCCCTGTTTGAGGCCCAGGTCCACCTACCACAGCTCTGTCCTTAGGCAAGATATTTCTCTGAGTTTCAGTTTCCTTTTTCAGAAATGGATGAGCTAGCTCAGCGGGCTCTAGTGAAGACTCCCGGAGAACAAGCCTGGCCCTAAAGCAACCAAAGGACATACCAAGTGCCAGACGGGAGCTGCAGGGTTGCTGTTACTCAAGAGCCACACTGAGCTGGGGGGCCCCTGGAGGCAAGTATCCATTAAATCTCAGCTGCTCACTCAAGCTCAATGACTAAGACTAATTGCTTAACTTTCTCAGTGTTCTTACAATAAAGTGGGAATAATAAAATGTGCCTCAGAAACTGTGGGACAAGTAAGCTTTCTTATAGTGGTTATTTTTTAGTAAGAGCATTATGAAAAATTAATTTTGTGTTATTTTTACTCTTAGGGTATTTTCTGTTTTTTCTGTAACAAATATGAATTAATTTTTGAAAAATACCCCTTATCTAAATAACTTGAACTTCCTGAATGCTCACTAGACTTTAGGCATTGCACAAACGATTGATAACCTGCTTTAATTCTCACAACACTTTGCTGAGGAAGATAGCTTTCACTCTTGTTTTATAGATGAGAAAACCAAAGTTTTAGGAGGTTGAACAATTTGCCAGGTTGGTGTGATTTTATACATGTGATAAAGATAGTAAAACCAGAGACACAGACAGAGGCTCACAAAAAATTTGAGAGTAGAGGAATCTCAATACTCAGGGGCCCTCTCCTGTGGCCAGAGAGGCCACAGCACTATGAAGCTCTCTGCAGCCACTGCAGCAGGAGTTTGATCCCCGCCAGGGAGGTGACCCACATGGCATGGCAGATCTCTCCTGACTGACCTGCTATTCCCCTCAGCATTGTTCTGCTCCCCATTCTGTCTCTATGAATCCTCTCACTCCCTGTACCTCTGGCCTGTACCCCAATTCTTGTGTGCATAAATAAATAAATCTAAAAAAAAAAAAGGAATCTCAGCACTTAAGATGCTCTTCAAGAGACTTTCTGTGCTTTGTAGGTATTATGGTATAAGATGTTACTACTCCAGGAAGACGGATGAAACCTCCCAGCTGGAGACTTCTCTGTCCTTGTGTGTGTTTTACCTATTCTATATTTCTCCTCCCACAACTAGACTCACATAAAGAAATAATTGAGGGCCTCCCTGGCAGCCTGGGGTTGAGTCTCAGTGCCATCACTTCCACAGTCTGAGTTCCACTGGGGTGCAGCAGACCTCTCCTGCTGTGCCTGCTGCTCCCCTCAGCAGTGTATTTCAGTGAATCCTCCTGTTCTGTTTCCCACTCTGTCTCTGGTGAATCCTCTCACTCCCTGAACCTCTGGCCTACACCCCAATTCTTCTACTCAAAAAAAAAAGTTGAAAAATCAGTTCATTGGAACAATTTACAGTTTATAAAAAGCTTACAAGGATTATGTGAGCTAACATACCTAGGTTGGTGGCTGGACACAGTGACATAGTCTCTCTCCTCCTGGGGAGTGACTATTTTCATATTTACAGTGCTGTATCCATGTCCACGGTGGAAAGTATGTTCTATGTAGTTGGACCTCAGAGAAAGTTGCATCTGTCTGAACATGACTTTTTTGTTGTTGTTATTCCCTAAACAAGACAGTATAGCAACTATTTACATTGCACCAGGTCTTGTAAGTAACATAGAGATGACTTCATGTCTACAGGAGGATGGCTTAGGGTCTATGAAAACCCTTATTTAAGACTTGCCCTTCAGATCTGGTGTGTGTGTGGGGGGGGGTTGGTTCCTGGAACCAATCCCTTAAGGATACCTACGACCGACTACATATTGTAGGAATAATAACACCTTCCCTTTACTGTTTTTATTATGCCCCAGTCTTATTTTACACACATTATTTCATTTAATAAAGTCTTTGAAGTGGAGACTTTCATTAGTCCCTTTTCATTGAGAAGAAAATTCAAGTTCTGCAGAGATGAATCTTCTCTTCTCTCGCTACAAAGTGACCAAGTCTGGGTCTACAGCCCAAGCAGCCTATTCATGCAGTCTCTCCTCAGTCCCCTCCACCCCCCACAGAGAAGATGAGGGCAGACCTCAGCGCTTTAACTGGAGGGGGTGGGAAGGAAGAGTGTGTACACTTCCTTGAGCCACCTGCCCCTCTGGCAGTGATTTCTCCCTTTGGCCAGCATTCTTGAGAGGGGTGGTCATACTTTTTGTTGAGACCCTCTAGTCAGTTTCTATTTCTCTCTCTCTCTCAATCATACACACACACACACACACACACACACACACACACACACACACACACCCCTTAATGATTCCCCTAACTCCTATTGGGGGAGTACCTCAGACTTGAGATGAATCTCCAGACCTGAGGCTTGTGGGGAGGGATGGCCTGGGTTGCATTTCTTAGGGAGGAGAAAGAGGTATCTACAGGGGTTGGTATTTTGGGGGATGGTTGACTTATATGCACATCAACTCCATCCCTGCTGGGCTTCCTTTTACCAACACCCCCATTCACGCCAATGGGCCAACCCTCGCTGGTGGGGGGTAGGCGAAAGATGAAGGAGTCCTCCCAACCACCTCACCTTCTGCGGGGGAGCTGGAGAAGCAAACCCCGAGTCTCCGCGGAGGGAGATGGGCCCTAGCGAGCCCATCCGTGGGGAGCAGCGCCCTCGTGTGGCCTCTAGGAGAAGCGCAGTTCACTTCTTGGTTCCTCCCTTTGTATGCGCTCATCCAGCAGGTATTTATTGAGCGCTGCTAGGCACTCTACACGCAACGATGAAGAAAATAGAATACCTGCTCCCTGGACGATACATTCCAATGTGTGAATGTGTAGGGGGAGGCAATAAACAATAAACAAATAAATAAACTAGGCAGTTACTAGTAGTGATAACTGCTCGGAAGAAAATAAAACAGAAATTTGATGAAGAGTGACCCAAAAGGGAAACTTGGGATATCCTGCGAAGGGAAAGGAAGGTTTCCTTGAGCAGATCACATCTGAGATGAGACCTAGGTGACCCCGATTGGGTGGAAAGATTTCCTGGCCGAGAGGATAACTACCACAAAAATCGTCTGGCAGGAACAGGCTTTTCAGAATTGACCAAGGCCACAGTGGCTGGAGAAAGGAGGGAGGTGTCAGATATCGGCAGGGTAGGGGGGGTGGGCAGAAAGGAGGCCTCGAGGGAGTTTCACCTCTTATCTGAAAATAATGGGGAGTGAGGTGTTTATTATTTTTTTTAAGATTTATTTATTTATGAATACAGACCTGGGATACAGGCTAGAGGTACAGGGGCATTCACCAGAGAGGATTCACCAGAGACAGAGTGGGGAGCAGAACAGGCAGACTGACAAAGTACACTGCTGAGGGGAGCAGCGGGCAGGTCAGGAGAGGTCTGCTGCGCCATGTGGGTCACCTCCCTGGCTGGGGATCGAACTTGTGTTGAAGCACCTGGTACCTGCACTCCCATTGTGCCACCAGGGAGGCCCGTGGGGAGTGAGTTTTGAGCAGAAGAATATTCTGGCTTGATCCCTGTAGCTGCTGTGTGCAAAATGGATTTTGGGCAAGAAGGAAGAGTGCCAGCAGGGACATTATCACAAAGGATAGATTAGAATGCTGTTGAAATAATTCAGGCGGGAACTGCTGGCGACCTCTGTCAGGGGAGAGGAGGGGAGGACATGCTGATGCTGGGTGAATCTCATGGCCCAGCAACAGGGCTTAATAGTAGACCGTTGCCTTTTGTTCGTTTTGCTCCAGGAGCCCCTTCACACACACTCTGGGTGACTCCTCCGTCCTTCCTGGGGGGCTGAGTTAGAGGGGCAAACCCCAGTGCCAGACCTAAGTTGGGGAGTTTCTGGGTGTTGCATAGACGAACAGAAGACTGAGTGATTGTATTTTTTGCAAACTCTCCACTTTCCATCATTAAGCCATTTCATGCACAGGGCCTCTGCCTGCTGGCTTGCTGCCCCTGCCCGGCCTCTGCAGACCCAGTTATTATTCAGGTCTGTTTGTCCAAGTGGGTGCCCTCAGGGTGCTGGTGACACCCAAAACAGTCCTGGGTGTTTGGTGTTTGTAGTTGATACAGAGTAGGGGGGCAGTACCATCAGGGGTGTTGATTCTCAGACCCAGCCCAGAGACTTACTCCTGTTTATTTACACAAAACACAGTGAGGTCAGACCTGATTGCACTTTTGCCAATCTGGGCATTTCTGGAGAACCTCAAAAAGGTCAGGCTAACCTTACAAATGCTCTCAGGCCGGGGTGGGGCGGTTTGTGGCAAACCAGTAGGGGAAGTGACCCGGTTGGCTCTGGTGTCAGCAGGCCTTGCTCTGTGTTGTGCTGCTTGTGGTGTGATTATAAATGTGGCAGCCCGAAGGCTCCTGACCTCAGAGTGTAGGGCTGCACGCCCCGGGCGTCTGTGCCAGCCTCTCCAAGATGAAGCTTCCAGGCCAGGAGGAGTTTGATGTCTCCAGTGTTCAAGAAAATGTGCCCATGGGAGAGCTGGATGGCAGCACTGGCTCTGGCCTCAGCCCTGATGCCCCCTCAGCCACTGGCAGCAGGGAACAGGGGGTACCCAAAGATCCCCTGCTCTTCATTCAGCTGAATGAGCTGCTGGGTTGGCCTCAGACACCAGAGTGGAAACAGACAGGCAGGTGAGTAGGACCCAGGCCAGTTTTGGGGGGCCTTTTCCGACCCCAGCTGGGATTGCCTTTATGACCCCGAGTTCCTCCAGTTTGGGTGTGTTCTCACTCCTAATCAGGAGCTCCTCTCTCTGTCTCCACTCCAGGCTTCATCTTCCATGACGCTTAGCTTCTCTACAGCTAGGTTTAAGTTCCCCAAGAACCAAGATGAGGAGTAACTGTGGGGGAAGGGACAACAGGGGGCCCACAACTCCCTCCATTGTCTTATCGGCCCTGGCTTCCCTGTGTTTCTGCTCCTGGATCTGAGAGAGAGGCCCCCAATAATACTAGCATCCCTCTCCACTGCAGATGGGTACTGTTTGAAGAGAAAGTAGAGGTGGGTTCAGGCCGATGGAGTGCTCCCCACGTTCCCACCCTGGCACTGCCCAGCCTCCAGAAGCTTCGCAGTCTGTTGACCAATGGCCTTGTACTGCTCGACTGTCCAGCTCGGAGCCTCCTGGAGCTTGTGGGTATGCTGGAGCCTTTTGCTGGCAGGACCCGGGCAGCATACCATTTTGCTAAGATTCCAAAGTCTTGGAATTTTCCAGAATCTATCCCACCCTGCCCTGGGAGTTACCCACCCTATAACCAGGGGAGAAAACAGAGTGAAGGGACAACTTCGCCAGCCTCTGAGTTCCCTGACACTACCCTGGGGAGGTGGGAACTGGACACGGAAAGGGGGAAGAGTTGGGAGGCAGAAAACTCTCAGAAAGCCTTGAAGCCCCACGTCTGTTCTCCAGAGCAGGTGACCAGAGTGGAGTGGCTGAGTCCAGAGCTGAGAGGGCAGCTGCAGGCCTTGTTGCTACAGAGACCCCAGCATGTCATCCAGGCCCCAGGCCCCAGGACCTGTTGCGGTGAGAGGCCCCTCCCTGGGCCTAGGATGAAAGACCCTGTGGCAGAAGGGTGTCAGCTCTGCCCTGCATGTTCCCCAGCTCAGATCTCTTCACATGGGCAAGAGGATGAATGGGGGGGTGGGGTGGGGTGTGGAGTGGAATGGTAAGGGGTCAGTCACAGCAGGGGGCTGAGTCCCAGCAGCCAGAGTTCAAAGAAGAGTTCTTGGTAGAGACAAGGCCAGGCATATTGTGTGTAGCTCATTTAATTCTCACCTGCACCCCCTGAGGTAGTACCACAATGATCCCCACTTTAATGATGAGAAAACTGAGTTTCAGAGGTGGAAGGGGGTGTTCCAGCCTTCACAGCTTGTCAGCAGCAAAGCCATTAGGGAGCCAGGTGGGTGCACCCTCAAGGCCTGCTTCCCCGTCACTGCATGATGCTGTTTTGAAGGGTCTGCCCAGCACAAAGAGGCTTCTCACGACAATGACGTGGACGAGGGAGCTTCCCTGAAGGAGCAGGTTTGCGGCCCTTCCTTGGGCAGGACTGGGAGAAGGGTCAGGGGCTCCATCCCCTGCCCACGTAACCTCCAACCCTCCGTGTCTCCTTGAACCCCCACCCAGTGTCGGAACCCTCTGCGACAGAAGCTGCCCCGGGGGGCTGAAGCAGGTGTTGTGCTGGCAGGAGAGCTGGGCTTCCTGGCACAGCCACTGGGGGCCTTTGTGAGACTTCAGGAGCCAGTGGTGCTGGGAGCCCTCACTGAGGTGCCCCTCCCGAGCAGGTGAGGCTGCTCCAGGGGAGTCAGGGACCCTGGAGTCCAGAAGAAGGGCCCCTACTGAGGATTGGGAAGGCTCCAGGTCCGGTTGCCTGGGAGCGGAGGGGGAAGGTGCTGAGGGGTCTGGGGAGCGGGAGGGGCAGCGGTCAGTGTACAGAGCAGGTGTGCACGTGTCTGAGGCTGATAGGAAGGTCAAGGCCAGAGTGGCCTCTGGGGTAGCACCCGCTGACACTTCCTGGGGCCTGGTTCTGTCGGCAGGTTTTTCTGTCTCCTCCTGGGCCCCGCAACACTAGAAAGGGGATACCATGAAATGGGCCGGGCAACAGCTGTCCTCCTGAGCGACCTGGTGAGAAGGGCTTTGTGCCCATGTAACCAGATTTTGTATTTGTAACTGAGTCCCTGAGTGCAAGGACTGAAGTGTCTGTGGCTACCACTGTATCCCTTATGAGCTTCCTTCTTCCTTTATGGATGCACTTGGGAATGAATGAATGTGAATGACTTCTCTGTGTCTAGTTTTGAGATCATGTAAATGCATGCCAGGGCCCAGATGTGCATTTACTGCCCTGTCTCCAGCAATTCCAGTGGTCAGCTCGTCGGGCCAGCACCCTTCATGACCTTCTGGCAGCCCTGGATGCCTTCCTAGAGGAGGTGACAGTGCTGCCTCCAGGTCGATGGGACCCGACAGCTCGGATTCCCCCGCCTAAATGTCTGCCCACTCAGCATAAAAGGTATCTACATCCTCCCCTCCAGGCTTTGAATCCAGTTCTAATGTTGTGAAAGGGCGGGGTGCAGGAAAGGACATTTATATGCCTTTGGGTCTGGCGTCCCGGGCAGAGACATGAGCAGCCACCAGGGAGCAGTGCGTCACAAACTTCGGTCCCGATTCGCTAACCTGCCGGGGAGCCTCGGCCCATTTAGCTTCCTCTTCTGATCAGGCTCCCTTCGCGGGGGTTCAAGGGCAACTCTGGCCGGCGTGGGGCTCTGGCTGAGGGCAGGCACGACCATGGGCCTCAAGCACCCAGCCCAGAGCTGCAGAGGACCGGCAGGTGAGGCGAGCTGGGGTGAGGTGGGGAGGGGAGTTGGGTCCGGGAGGACACAGGGACATTACCACGCGAGGGCTCATCCTGGACTGGGGGCGTTGGTGTGCGGACCTGGGTCACTGAAGACCCTCGGTCGGGAGGCTCTTTGGGGGTCTCATCCAGGATGTACGCCGGAAGGCCTCGTGGTACCCCAGTGACTTCTTGGATGCCCTGCACCCCCAGTGCTTCTCAACTGTGATCTACATTTACCTGGCCACCGTGACTAACGCCATCACCTTTGGAGGGCTGCTGGGAGAAGCCACAGACGGTGCTCAGGTGTGTGGGGTTGTGTGACCCCAGAAAGCACAGGGTTTGCCTGGGCCTTGCCCTTGTTCACCCTCCCCTGGGACTACAGGTGGGCAAAAAAAGTGCCCCGGCAGGCAGCTTCCGTTAGGTGCTGAGGGTTCCAGAGTCCTACAATGGGCCCCTGTCTGCTTGCTTCTAGGGGGTGCTGGAAAGTTTCCTGGGCACAGCAGTGGCTGGAGCTGCCTTCTGCCTGATGGCGGGCCAGCCCCTCACCATCCTCAGTAGCACGGGACCAGTGCTTGTCTTTGAACGCCTGCTCTTCTCCTTCAGCAAGTAGGAGAGCACACTCCCCTGACCACTCACTCACTAGCCACACTCAGCCTGGTCCTGCTGGGTCAATGGCAAAGGGTGGGATCTGCAGTGGGGCACCCTGGCTCCTGACCAGAGGTTGGCATCCTGCACAACAGCCCTGAAACAAGCCTTGCCTTTCTTACCTCCAGAGATTACAGCCTGGACTACCTGCCCTTCCGCCTCTGGGTGGGCATCTGGGTAGCTACCTTTTGCCTGACACTGGTGGCCACAGAGGCCAGCGTGCTGGTGCGTTATTTCACCCGCTTCACGGAGGAAGGCTTCTGTGCCCTCATCAGTCTCATCTTCATCTATGATGCTGTGGGCAAAATGCTCAGCTTGACCTGGGCCTACCCCATCCAGAGGTCTACATCCCTCGCCTATGGCTGCCTCTGCCAGTACCCAGACCCGGGAGGTGGGTGAGGGAACCAGGGTGCTTGGTGAATAGAGGGAGAATGCTGGGGAGGAGGAGAGTTATCCTCCTCACCCCCCAACCTCCGTTAAGTTCAGCAAAATGCTGATCACTTACTCACCTAATAAGCAGAAGTACTCGCTCCCACTCTGGTTCTGAATCAATTGAGACATAAGACCACAGAGGAGGTGGGACATCTTTATTTCTGACAATGCTGATAGAAGAATATGGCTTCCCCCGACTTACCTGGTAGAGGGTTACTCTTGAGAACCAAAGTCCCTCCACGTGGGGAGAGGTGCGCTAGACTCCGAGTTAGGGGTGGACATGCTCAGTTCTGGATGCTCAGCTACCCAGCAAACATTTACTGGGCATCCACCCTGGCCAGTCCTGTGGTGGCCACCAGGGACACAGATAGTGAAGCGATGCAAAGGGATTTGGGCAGAAGTCAATTATCCCAACATTCACAGACAAATGAGCCAGAGCTAAGAACTGCCTGGCTGGCTCAACTGGACCTGTGAGATCAGGCTCCAGAAGGGAGAGAGCAGCTTTCCAGGGGGCGGGGCATACACCTGAATTCTCTCCTTCCCAGGAAATGAGTCTCAGTGGATAAGGCCAATGCCAAAAGACACAGATGACACCTTCAGCATGGTGAGGTCCTGCTTTTTGGAGGGCCTGGGAGGGAAAGGGTGGAGGCCAAAATAGTGGCCTCCAACTTCACTGAGGCCTGGCCATCTGCTGAGGCTAGAGCCCTGCGGTTCTGGGCCCTTGGTGTCTCTGTGGGCCCCTCTCCCCGTGGGGTGGATCTGGAGTAGGATGCATATTCCCCTGCCCACAGACCCATCCCCGACTGTCCTTCCACACAGGACCTAGGTCTGGTCAACGTATCCTTGCTGCCCCCATCTGAGTGTGCCCGGCGGGGCGGATTCCCTCGCGGGCCCGGCTGTCATGCTGTCCCAGACATCGCCTTCTTCTCCCTGCTGCTCTTCCTTGCCTCTTTCCTCTTTGCCATGGCCCTCAAGCAAGTAAGGACCAGCCGCTTCTTCCCTTCCATGGTGAGTGTCACCTTTTTTCCTGTAAGAGGATTGGCTTAGCCATGGGCCCTGTCTGTGAATGGGAACGGGTGAGGTGGCCATGCTGAACCTGACTGAGTGTCCACTGTGTGGCTAGGTGCGCAAGGGACTCAGCGACTTCTCCTCAGTCCTGGCCATTCTGCTGGGCTGTGGCCTCGATGCTTTCCTGGGCTTGGCCACGCCGAAGCTCATGGTCCCCAGAGAGTTCAAGGTGAGAGCTGGGAGTGTAGAACCGAGGGGAAAGCTGGGCCAGCAGACAGGACCCTTGAGGAAGAAAATGCATAGACGCCATGTTTTTCCTCTCAGCTTCCAATTCCTTGCTCATAAAATAGAAATAGCATAATAAAGGCCTCACAGAGTGGTTGTAAGAATTAATGAGGTGCAGCTCCAGACACAAAGTGAGCACAGAATACACAAGAGCTATTATTATAGCGAAGAGGTTCAGAGGATGGTCCTGACCAGCCAGCCTGGGTTTGCATTCCAGTTCTGCCACTTCCTAGCTGTGTGGCCTTAGGCAAGTTAACCCACATTTCTGAGCCTTGATTTCTTCATCTATAAAATGTAAGTAATACATAATAGTTCCTACCCCATAGGTTGTTTATTAGTGTCACAAGTACGTATCATGGTGCCCGGGGCTGGCACATACCAAGACCTCCTAAATGTTAGCTATTGTTACAGGTTCTCCCTATCCTTGGTACGGCCCTACCCACTCCCCTCTCTCTTCTTTATACCCCTAGTTGCAGCTCTGATCTGGTAACGCTGGAGCTCCCTCTCCAGAGGGACTGTGTCAGTGACAAAGTACAGCACCCACTTAGCACCTAGGCTTTGTACATTTGGAGCTCTCTCTCCCAATTTCCCCCAGAATGTGAGGGGGGGTGGTCGTCAAACTGGGGCAGCCTCAGAGGCTCAGCACAGAGGCAACACCTGGGGCCCCCTCCCCCACACTGACGCTTGTAATCAGAGCAGACTAATCAGAACAGACGCAGACACACCCAGCCCTGCCCCTGCCTCAGATGAGGCAGGTCTGAGCCTGAGTCGCCACACCCTAGGGGGTGCTGGGGAGGAGGGCTCTGTGCACCCAGATGTGAGCACAGGCCTGATCTACCATGTTTCCTCTTGTAGCGGGGAGGGCTCTGAGAAATAAAGAACAGGACACCTGGCTCCAGCCCACCCCCAGGCTTATCCCCTCCTACCCTGTTTGAAGTAGCTGAGATGCTGTGAACCAGCTATGTGTGCGGGTACACAACTCCCACCAGCAGCATGTGTCTTCTGGTGGTGGGGGAGGGGGCTTGTGGAAGAATGCCAAGGCTGAGGGGCATGGGCCAGGTTCTCGTGGGAGACCCTCTCCAACCTGCCCATGGGCCCTCCTTCCCCAGCCCACTCTCCCTGGGCGTGGCTGGCTGGTGTCACCTTTCGGAGCCAACCCCTGGTGGCTGAGTGTGGCAGCCGCCCTGCCGGCTCTGCTGCTGTCCATCCTCATCTTCATGGACCAGCAGATCACAGCGGTCATTCTCAACCGCCCCGAGTACAGGCTTCAGGTAAGGCCTGCTGGTGAGACTCTAGGCCCCTTGACCAAGGGACAGCAACTCCCAAGGGCTGAGTGGGGGCGGTCAAGGCTCCTCTTGTCCCACTCCAAAGGACAGAAGGCCCAGACCCGAGCTAGCTGCATCCTGAAGCCCCACCTCAACCCACAGAAGGGAGCTGGCTTCCACCTGGACCTCTTCTGCGTCGCTGTGCTGTTGCTGCTGACATCAGCGCTTGGGCTGCCCTGGTATGTCTCAGCCACCGTCATCTCCCTGGCCCACATGGACAGTCTTCGGAAGGAGAGCAGAGCCTGTGCCCCAGGGGAGCCCCCCAGCTTTCTGGGCATCAGGTGAGGCCAGCCTCTAGGAGACTGGAGTGGGAGGCGGGCAGCAAGTTGGGGTAGAGGGTACAAGGCAGTTATGTGGGCAGCTTAAATTCTAAGCTGTTCACTTTGGAGGGTTCCAGCTCACTGTCCCATTGGCACTGCAGAGGCTGAATGGGTAAAGTTCCGGGCCCTGAGGCAGGCAAGTATTATCCTGCCCTCTCCTTCAGCCAGGGCTGAGCGAGGGTGAGGTGCTGCCTAATAAACTGTGCTCAAAGCAGAAGCACCTCATTGATGTTACAAAGGACTCATCCTAAAAATGTTTCCGGAGTCACAGTGTGGAAAGTATGTGAAATCAGCTTTAAAATTTGTGAAATAAATTCTCTATAGTGGTGTAAAGATTGCTAATGTTCCATCAAAATAAAAAAGAAATACAAAGCACAACTATAAGCTTGAACATATGGTGAGGCCTGGGGTCTGATACCCACGTTGAAGTGGCCTGCCATTTCCACAGTTTTGCACATCAAGCTGAGATCCCTCCCTGCCAAGTGACTGTTGGGGCATCCCTCCAGCCAGTGAACCCCACGGCTCTCCCAGACTCTGGCTAACTTCTCCCTCTCCCCACAGGGAGCAGAGGCTGACGGGACTGGTGGTGTTCGTTCTCACAGGCGTCTCGGTCTTCCTGGCACCAGTGCTCAAGGTACCTTTGTGAGATTGGCTGGCATCAGGGTCAGGGCCACGGTGATAAGCAGCAGGAGCTGACACTGCCTGGACTGTGTGCTGCGGCCCGGGCAGGCTTTCTCCACAGTGGTCTCATCGAATTCTCACATTAGCCATGAGGGGCATCTGACCCTTATAAAGGAGGAAACCAAGAGAGCTAGTTTCTCTTATCTGAGAACCCAAACTCTTACCCAGCAGGCAGGTGGAGGCACTGCTCACCCCCTCCCTCCAGCCTCTCACAAGACTTCAAGTATGAGCATCACACCCCAGAGACACTTGGAGGCAAAACCCTTCACTTGTCCCTCACCAGATGCTTAGAGAACACCGGCTGTGTGCCAGGCCCTGCTGGGCACCTGGGGGAAGTGGAGGTGGAGAAGGGAGGAGGAGTGGGAGGAACAAGGAACCAAGCCCCTGTTGGCAACAGACACACATGCACGCACACATGCACGTGCATGGACAAAAATTAAGTAACAGGTAATAGCAGAAGTTCAATGAGCCAAGACAGCAGAGCAGCGAAGGAGCGTGGAGAGCTGGAGCGCACACAGCCCCTGGCAGGACAACAGGGGTTAGGGGAGGGAAAGGTTGGGTGAGAGTGGAGTAGCTGACAGAGCCAGACAGACCGGATCAGCCACTTACTGACTAGGTGACTCTCATTCAGCAGGTATTTACCAAGCATACCCATGCCCAAGCACTGGGCCAGGGACAGGGATATAGTGGTGTTCAAAGGCAATCATCCACATACTTGCAGTCTGGTGAGAGGAGACAGATAAAAAAATAAGATAATCTCAGATAGTGACAACTACGGAAAAAAGAAAGAGTGGGGTGAAGAGCACCAGGGGTCCACTTTCCAGGGGACTATGAGGGGTGGCCTTTCTGGAGTGTCCTGAAATGAGTAGTGAGAAACTGGTGCGGGAAGAGCATTTCAGCTGAGGAAGAGCAAAGCAAAAGGCCTTGCTAGGCATGGAACCAAACCTGGGCATGGTGAAGGAGGGGATGGAGGCCAGTTTAGAGGAAACAGCAGAGATGAACAGGATGATTTGACTGGAGAGGTGGTCTGGTAAAGGGCAAGTCACTTAGTCTCTGAAATCCAATTTCATCATCTCTAAAATGGAGACAATCAGGCTTTAACTCATGTGACAGATGTGAGGATTAGATTAGCATGCAAAGTGGAAGGGAACAGAAGACCTGGTGGGCTTCATCCTCGAGCCTGGGGTTGGAGCCTCAGGGTGGGCACCTGGGCTGGCAGAGATGAACTCCATTACCAGTTCTCCATTTCTTTCCACCAGTTCATCCCGATGCCTGTGCTCTACGGCATCTTCCTTTACATGGGGGTGGCAGCAATTAGCAGCATCCAGGTAAGCCCGTTAAAATCACCAAGCTACCCCACTCCTTGTCTTCTTTCCTACTGGCACCTCCCCTTTGCACTTGCCATTTCCCTTTGCCCTAGTCCTGCCTTTCCAGGCTCTGGACGGGCAGAAGGCCAAGGGAGACTTCCGATACCTCCCCACTCCCCGCACTGTGCTTGGGTAGCTAAGAGCCATACCCTCCCAGAGACTTGAATTTACTGCTTTGCTCCTTCTCTGTTCCCCAGTTCACAAAGAGGGTGCAGCTATTACTGATGCCAGCCAAACACCAGCCAGATCTCCTGTTCTTGCGGCATGTGCCTCTGGGCAGGGTCCACCTCTTCACAGCCATCCAGCTTGCCTGCCTGGGGCTGCTTTGGATAATCAAGTCTACCCCTGCAGCCATCATCTTCCCCCTCATGGTGACTTGGGCAGGGTTGGTGGTATCCTGGAGGGCTTGGGAGACTCTGAGCCTGAGGGTACACTAGGCCTTCAGAAGAGGAAGAATCTTTCCTTTCTTGCTTGCCCTGGCTTGGTTGGAGATCCTCAGGCAATGAAAGATAACTGAGGGAGACCTACAGGTGGGCTGGCTCTGAGATCCAACTCTTTACTTAGCCTCTTTGGGCTGATCAACTACAGGTAGGGTGATATAGCCCAGAAGAAAAATGAGACCCTGGGACAGGCAATGCTGACATTTTCCTAACTCAGTGAGGTGATAACACACCTTGTTCTTACTCATTAAGGAAGTTAAAAGTCATGGCTTTGCAGTAGGACCGATCTGGTCACCACAGCCCAGCTGTGTGACCTATGAGATGATAATACAGGCCTCAGTTTCCTCTCTGTACAATGGGAATAATCATTATAGCTACCTTAGGAATGTGCTAGCATCCAGGGAAACAATACACAATACCTAGCCTATAGGCTGTAGGACGTGCTCAGTAAGTGTTACCACTGTTGCTACACTGTTGCTAAGCCCTGGGCTTTGTTTCTATCCCTGCAGTTGCTGGGCCTCATGGGAGTTCGAAAGGCACTGGAGTGGGTCTTCTCACCACAGGAACTTCTCTGGCTGGATGAACTGATGCCAGAGGAGAGGACCATCCCCGAAAAGGGGCTGGAGCCAGAGAACTCATTCAGCGGAAGTGACAGTGAAGATGTGAGCTCCAGGACAGCCCCTCAGAGTGGGGCAGGGGTGGGGAGGGCGCCCTTGTCTAGTCTAATATCTCTAAGAAGCCTGGAGATCTGATCAATGCAATCCCTCCCTTTAGGTCTGTACTGACATAGGTACCCCAAAGAGGTGTGGGGGTAATTTTTCTTCCTAGGCCAGGGCCCTTGGTTTATGAGTCCGTGGAGTGGGAAGGAACGGAAACCAGCTCTAGTAGGCTGCCTTTCTCAACCCTGATCTTTGTCTCAGTGTGGGTCTTTATTCACTGGGTCCAGTTCTCTGTGTTGTATCACTGTTTCTTTCTATTTATTCCAAACTTGTCCTGGGATCTCTACTGTGCAGTCAGAGCTGATGTATCAACCAAAGGCTCCGGAAATCAACATCTCTGTGAATTAGCGGGAACAGGAGTCTGGGAATGGAGACCTGGGAAAACGAAACATGAGGTGAGTGTATGAGAAGTGTCCCTGGGGTTTCAGACCTTGGACACCTCCAGTGTGCTGACTACACTGTTTTTTCTTCATGCTCCAGTTCTTCCATAACCCAAGACTGGAGGAGGGGGGTAGAAAGGTCTCAAGTGCAGAAGCAAGACAAGCAAGTGTACCTGTAGTAGCACTTAAGTGTGGCCGGTAGAGGGAGCCCAAGCTCACACCAAACTGGTTGTGGTTGAGGGGAGCAAAGGGGAGGCGGGCTCTCCTCTAGGCTACAGAGACCACACTCCAGACTCGTGGAGGGATTCTGTCACTCGAGTTCCTACCATTACTTTATTTTTTAAAAAAAGATTTTATTTATTTATGCATACAGAAATGGGGTAGAAGCCAGAGGTGCAGGGGCAGCAAGAGACTTCACCAGAGACAGACTGGGTAGCAGAACAGACAGATAGACAAAGTAAAATGCTGAGGAGAGCAGCGGGCGAGTCAGGAGAGGTCTGCTGCGCCATGTGGGTCACCTGGGGGTGGGGGTGGGGGGTCAAGGATTGAACTCACACTCAAGAGGCCTCGGCTTGGCTTAGCTTAACTTCACAGTGCAGCGCTCCAACCCGCTGGGCCACCAGGGAGGACCCATTCCTTTATTTTATTCATGTATTTATTAAACCATTTGCTGATACTCATGGAGTATCTAGATGCTAGAGATACAGTGACAAGACAGTTGTCATGGTCCCTGGCCTCTGGAGGCTTAAATTCCAGTGGCAAGACAAACTAGTTGGAATTAAGCTGAGGAAGCACAGAGAGAACCTTAAAGGGCTTCTCGCAGAGTAGAGAAACTGGGGTGGTGGGGGAAGGCTTCCAAGAGGAAGTGTCCATAATTTGAGACCTGAAGAATGACTAGAAGCTGGTCAGGATAAGATGGAGGGAAACTGTTTTAAGGCAGAGGGTGCTTAATGAGCTAAACTCTCTTTTGGGCCAAGGAACAGTGTCCTCTCCAAACCTCTCCAAGCTGGAGAGCCCAACAGCTCTCACCACTTGACAAGTTTGGGGATCAGAGGGAGACCGTGGTTCACCGTCTGGCCTAGACAGAACAAGCTTTCCTTATCCACTGGCACTACGTCTGTTCTTTGCCCTGTGTGCTGCTGAGCACATGCCCTGAGCCTGCCATGTCTTCTCTCAATCCACTTGTGTTTACTCAGGAAGTCAGGTCTCTGCCGACCTTTGGCTTAACTGTAGATGCTCAGTTGGCTGGGAACCTGGGACAATGGGCAGGACTGAAGGGAAGCTGGCCAAGACCTCAGTCACCCTCTTGAACTCAGGGTGCAGAGAGGCAGGGAACAAGCAGGTTTGCTTGTGGTTAGGAAAGGCCAGTCAGTCAGACGGACTCACCAGGCTCCATTTACTCTGGCCCCTTTAAAGGGACCAAGTCCAGAAGTTGCTCTCATTTTCAACTTGTTCTCATAAATTGTCTTTACAGAATCAGGAGGTTGTCAGTGACTACAGCTTGCAAAAAGGAGAAAAAGTACCTCTTTCCTGAATAAAGTATTTTCTTTTTGAAATATTTTTTACACATTAAAACTAATCTTTGTTCTTTTGACCACAATCATAAGATTACTTCAAAATATTGAAACACTTTAGAAATATATTATTGCAAAAAAGAAACCATCCCAGAGATAACCAGTGTTCACATGTTAATATATATTGTTCCAATTTATTTCAATGGACATGCTATTTTTATTAAAATGGGATATACTATAAAATGCTTGTCACTTGGCACATACTGGATATTTCCCTGTGTCAGAACATACCTATCTACCTTATTTTGAATGTCATCTACATAGACCGAGTAACTTTTTAAGTTGAAAAATATATGATGTATAAAAAGGAGCAAATAAAATATCTTCTGCAAATGCAAGAAATTCTTTAGAATATATACCTAGAAGCAGGATTATAGAATAAAAGTATACCTGTGTATCAACGCTGAGGTTAAGAACAGGGTATTTCTAGTGTGCCAGAAGCTCCCTCTATGCATTTCTCCCAGATTCAACCCCAACCCCAGTAAACACTATCCCCAATTTTATGGTAATTAGTATTCTCATGTTTTTCTTTATAGCTTTAACATCTACTTATGTATCCCCCGTGTTTATTATTTTGCCTATTCCTGAGTGCTAGATAATGGAATCAAGCTGTATGGATTCTTTTGGACTGTATGGACTGCTTCTTTGACTCAACACTGCTCTGAAATCAATCAGGTTGATGATAATTGTACTTTGTTCATTTTTCATAGTCTGTACAGCATTCCATTGTATGACTCTATGACTGTTCATTCACCATTTTTCTGTTGACTCAAAGAATTCGCCAGTGAAGCCACCTGGATCTTTGTGGAAAATTTAAGTTGACTCAAATGATTTAATGATCATAGGATTTTTTTTAGTGACTCTTTTGGGGAACAATTTTAGGTTCCAGTTGCAAGGTCTTTTTAGGGCCTTTCTTTAGTCAGTTTTGTTGAATTAGACTTTTTTAGAAATCTATTAATTTTACCTAAGCTTTCATATTTATTGGCACAAAGTTATTATGACCTTTATCTGCTTTATCAATATAGAACATTTAGCAGTTGTTCACTTATTATTTGTAATATTATTGTGTACTTTCTTTTTTTTTTCATTCTTGGTTACTCTTTGCCAGAAATTAATGTGTTTTACTAGTTTTTCAAAAAAACTAACTTCTGACTCTGGTGACCTTCTTTATTGAATGTTTTACTATTTCATTATTTTTTTGTTCTTTATTGTTTCCTTTTATTTTGCTTAGGTTTATTCTGTTGTTTTTCTAACTTCGTAGCTCAATATTTTACATCTTTATTATCTCCTAATAGATGAAATAATTTTTTTTCAAAGTATGGTTTTAAGTGCATCCCACAAGTTTTGATACAGTATTCTTAGCTCACACACACACACACACACACACACACACACACACACACACACACATATTCTTATTATTTTTCCTGGACTCAAAAATTGTCAAGAAGTATATTTAAAAATTTTCTAAGTACATGTTTTCTTTCCTCTCAACTACCTTTTTGTAACTGATTTCTCACATAATTTCACTTAAGCATGTGTGAGCTTCCATTCGTGCTTGAAAATCTTTATTCCCCAATTTCTGGAAACAATTTTCTACCTACTTCTATTAAGTCAGTCAACTAATTATGCTGTTCAAAATGTCCTACATATTTCATATTTCATACATATTTTCTTGAATTGTTTGAACTATTAAATACTGGACAAGGAGATATGTTAATGTACCTACTGTGATAACAACTTTGTCACTATGTCCTTGTAAATCTGTTCAGTTTTTGCTTTTTTGTATTTTTCTTTTTCTTTTTTCTTAAATGATCATGATTTAATCATGTTCTTTATAGGAAATTGAAAACGCCAGTTTGTGAGGGTGAATTTCATTTGTGAGAGCAAACACAGAGCAGAAGTAGCCCTGGAGCTGAGGAAAAGCTTTGAGTTTTGGCAGAATTTGCCAGTCCATGGCTTCCTTATCATCCTTGTACTGCTCTGAGATCTCACATTTCTCCTGCTCTGTATGAAGAGCCCACTTTCCATATCAGGATTTATGTAGCTGCTTCTTGAAGTCAGCATCAGAGACATGTTTTGGGATCTTCACACTGTTGATATCAGTTTTGGTGGAGGTGGCGATGACAAATTTCTGGTGTGCTATGCAGGGAAACTCTACCACAAGGCAGAGGTCCAGTCACCAGTAGCAGCCACTGCCCAGCTGCTTCAAGAAAAATACCCTCGGCCCTCCCTGGTGGCGCAGCGGGTGGGAGCGCAGCACTGGGAAGCTGGTGGTGGCCAGTTCAGTGCAAATTAGATCCCCGACCCTGGAGATGACCCACATGGCGCTGCAGACCTCTCATGTCCGCCCACTGCTCTCCTCAGCAGTGTACTTCGTCGATCTGCCTGTTCTGCTCCCCGCTCTGTCTCTGGTAATCTTCTTACTGCCCCTGTACCTCTGGCCTGTACCCCAGTTCTGTATGCATAAATAAATAAAATCTTTAAACACTTTTTTTTTAACCCTTTTGTGCTGATAGTCAGATTGGTGCTAGGAGTGATGCTCGCTCGCAGTTTTCTCACAGTATGACTGAAGGGTTTTTTTTTCTACTGTGGTTCATCAGCTTTTGAGGTACATCTTCAGTAGGATAATCTAGGCATTCTGGGTACTGCTTGGGTACTGCCATTGTTGTCACCACCAACTGGCTTTGTGATAGTATCAAGAACCTTTTCCTCTTCAATCCTGGCTTTAGCTGCTGAAAACTTCCTTTTGTACATGGCCTTTCTGGAATACACAGCAGATTGGGAATAACTTCCATTCCTATCACTAGGACAGGGCTTCACGGACAGTGGGGCTTCGCGGACAGTGGGGCTTCCCCCTCAGAAGGGTTTTGGCTGAGTCAAGGTTGGGCTTTCTTGGCTCTATGTCTCTTCTCCTTAATAGCAGCCTTTTCAGCTTTTTCACCTGTCATCTTGCAAGACGGGAAAGAGAACTAAGTATTTTTTAAATTTTTACATAGAACTGGGATGCGGGTCAGGGGGGTGAGAGGATTCACCAGAGACAGAGTACAGAGCAGAAAAGGTGGATCTACTGAAGTACACTGCTGAGGGGAGCAGTAGGCAAGACAGTGGTCTGCTGGGCCATGTGGGTCAGCTCCCTGGCAGTGATAGCACTGAGAACAACCCCCCTACACTGCCCCAGAGGCATAAAATTTTAATGTATTTTTAGAAGCTGTTTTACTGGCTGCTTTCTAGCTTAAAATTGTTATAGCTTCCTGGTTAGTTAGTTGATCTTTTCACCATTTTGCAATGGTCTTATTTTGCAGCGACTAGTAATGCTTCCTGCTTAAAAACAATTTTGTCAGTTACAAATACAGTTAGAATTTTTCTTTTTTTGATTAGAACTTACCCATAT